CCCCAAAACCCCAAAACCCCAAAACCCCAAAACCCCATTTGATTCATTTAAATAAAAATCTGTGAAATGACAAATATAGATGTAATTTATGAAATTAAAGATTTCAAATGATTTAAGAATTTTAAGTCAAATTGCAAATTTTTTTCATGGATTCATTACCAACTATTATTTGGATCAATATGCTTTTTAGGAAGAGGAATAGATGTCTTTTGAAGATCTTAGTTTTACGACCCTAATTATTTGACTCCATAGTGCTGTCTCTGTTGAAAAGGTTATGAATTTTGACTATTTGCCATATAATCATTATCGAAGGAAGTTTCCGTAACTGGAATACCCATGCTTGGGTTGCTTGATTCATAGCTTTAATTACGTCCATGAGTTCCATAGAAGACTTAACTTGCATTTTGAACTTAGTTATAGTTGTTGGCAGGGCCATTTATAGACTTAAAATCGTCATTTAAAGTGAATTCACTACCCACAGTCTTATTCTAGTCCATTGAATGTTTTTATGTTTTCTTTGTATGGCTCTAACCTTTGCAACATTTTTTCATGCAAGTACATTTTTTAGTAGCTTTTCTGCAAACTCTTTTGTTTTTCCCATCTACTTACTTGATCTTGGTACAGCAAGTAAACACACAGATTAGAGTGATTATGATACTTATAAGAAATACTGCTACAACTATTGCTACTATAATAATCAACATTTTATCATCTTTTGATGCGTTTTTAGAATCAGCTTCTTCCAAATCACTCAAACTGTTCATACCTCCTTATAGGAATAGTGTTACTACTTGTGAATCATTATCTAGATTTGTTTATGTTAAAATATCTTCTCCATATTTTGTTTTATAAGCTATCTTGAAAGTCTTAAAGAAGCCTTTAAGTTGTTCAATAAGGCTTTTTGGTATTGCACTCATTTTTACATCTCCAGAAGACAATTACATAGTGTCAAGCATTGATAATTGCTAGCCCACATACCCGATACATTTGTTTATGGTAAAAAATGAGCTCTTATACATAGAGTAGAAATCATTTTGCTCCTACTTCTTTATTTGATCTTTAATCCTTTTGACAATTTTTTCCACATCAGAAGGACTTTTAATATTCATAAGATCACTAGTACTGATATTGTATTGAGTTAGATCTCCAAAGCTGCTGAGATCATAGTCGCCCATATTCCCTAAATTACCCATATCCAAACTTTGTATCATCCTCTAATTAGCTCTCATGTTGATTACGTTTTTTACGTGTTCTTGAGCTTTTCTTGCGATGATCAAATTATCTTATAGCATTTAATATTCATATGTTTCTTATGTTTAGTCTTCTTTATCAAAGCCTCTAATACCTTGAGATTCTAGATGAAATTTGATATTATCTTTATCTATGATTTCTTAGTATTGGTTGTAACTAGCCTGATTACTTATAGTTATCATCGTTACTAAAATGAGCATTGAATGTCTTGGCATAATTAAATATTATTTTTAAATTAAACGCATCTATCTTTATAATATTATTTTATAATTCATAGCAAACATCTATTCTTAGAAATTTTAATTTTAAGGGGTTTTGGGGTTTTGGGG